TGCTTCTTACTGAGTTGATCTTTATCTAATTAATTAGGAATGATTAAATTGCTGATTTGTGCAAACATATGACCTGTGCCCAGCTAATGCTCGTACACGGAGATTACGACACCAATAACACACACCTTTAAACAATCCACTGTTCGAAAGGCTCCGAAAAGAGAGATACCACCAAAAAACCATCCTCTGGACAGCTGTACGTTTTCATTGCTCCCTTGCTCTTCTTACAGAGAACTCTTATCGCTGCTCCTTGCTGTGTAGAAATTTGCATCTCATTTTGCGCTGTACAGGGTACTCCTTGAAAACTGCAGCAAATTTTCCCACCGTTTCTGTTGGCGGGAGATGTATTTCTTGAACGGTTAGCATACCATTAGCTCCCACATATCACTGTAAACGACCATGTCAATTTGGAGCATCGTTGCTGAACGACTTCTCATCCCTTTCTTCAGTGGTACGAAACGCGTTGCCGGAGTAACCACCCCAGATGAATTGGTGTCAAAGAATCCATTCTGTGGGATGGAGTAGCCCACGAGGATCACAAATGTGCTGTTATCGAGTTGAAATTGCGCGACGGCGGCGTTAGGGCCGTACAAAGTGACGTCATGGCGGATAATGTGGATTTGTGGACGATTCAAATACCTCGTTACATTAATTCCGGTTATGCAGCGTGTGCTACAACGTAGCGGCAAATTCATACACCCGCGGGTTACGTATTGGTGCAGGTCACTCCACACAACGCGTCTGAGCTCATCCCTCCCTCATTTCAAGGGGAAAGGGAGAGAATACTTGTTAGTGGCTTCATAGGCGGTTTGCCGTGATATTTTTCACTTCTAGTCAGTTCGATCTTCACTTTCTCCGCTGATGCGCCACAACCGCTGATCTAGGGTTTGCTTTGAGAGGTTAGCATATGGTCATAGCTTAAATGATAATCAGTCTGCTATTAGCAGTTTCGAAAAAGCGGACTTGTGTGTGCATCAGTAATCGGTGGGTCGCTGAAGATCCCGCAAAGACAAACTTAACCCATTCGTGACAATGGCAGCCACCGGTGGCTGACAAAGATCTCACTCGGGACAATGGTATCCACCGGTGGCTGCCGTGTTTCAAATGGAATTTGGAAAGTTTTCTTTCCTGAAAAGAATCTTCATACCCTCATTCATCTACGCCAGCCCTGGGCAGGGAAATCTCCATCCACTCAAATTTTATTGAAGAAAAATCTCCTGACTCTCCTGCTAATGCGCAAACCGGCGCGGTCGCGAATGGGTTAAGGCGTCGTGCAAGTTAATCTACTTCCCACGCGTCAACGGCGAGCTTTTTGTTGCCCGATCGCAATATCCTAGCTACCATCACATTTGCTCAGCTTCCAATCACTTGAAAGATGAAGTTTAAATAGCACATTGGAGTTCCACTCGAATCGTTGTGGTATTCGAATGCTATATGGCATAAGTTGTGGCCATACGTTTGAAAACAGTTCCACAATTTTTTTGTTTTCGATCGCGAGCCAAGACACAACAAAATTGCCTCATCTTACTACATGTAATTGGCTAAGCGGTTGTGTGTGTGTCTGTCTGACCGGAAATTCATAACTTCACCCCTTTGGACCCAGAGCGCTCAAACTTCTAGGATATATAGGGGGCCGGAGGTGAACACTGATGATGGGTGGCGGGAAGTGATAACTACTGATAGGAGCTGATAACGGACGTCGAAATGTTGATGTCACCAATTTCGTTACGCCGTTCGCGTTGACAGTGGAGAGTTTGCACTCATAAGTATATGTGTGTGGGACGGGGACCCGAATAGAGAGCGAAGAATGGTGATAGCAAGTGATAAGAGCTGACAACGTGCGCCGGAATGCCAATGCCACCAATTTTGTTGCGCCATTCGCGTTGGAAGTAACATGTTTGCACTCATGTATCTTATGTGGGGTGAGGCGGGGACCAAGATAGTGAGTGAAAGAAAGTGGTAGTAATTGATAAGAACTGATAAGGGGCGTCAAAGTGTCGATACCCCCAGTTTCGCTGCGGTTTAGTACGTATGTATGTAGTAAGTGCTGAGCCCATACACGAAATAAGATAATAGGTTTATTGGATAATGAACACAAAGGCACAGAACGGGAACACTGGATATAGCGAAGTTATCGCCCGAGCGTTTAAGTAGTAGATGGTGACTACGCTCGAGGCAGGAAAGCGATGAGTGGCTATCTAGGGCAGGATGGTCATGGACGACGGTACTGGCGGCACTGTCCGGACGGATGACACTCTCGACTGCCCTCGCCTTGTTGCCATTTCCTCGGGTCGTCGCGTTATCTCCGTCGCTCATCTTCTGCCGTCCAGCCTGGAAAGCATCTCATGCTGATTTAGCGTACCGTATCCTTCACACCTCCCTCAACCACAAAAAGTCCGTCTCGGACTTTAAGAGTAAACTTAACTGAAGTGGTGGCTGGAGGCGATGAAGGTTTGGTCCCGTGCGGCTACTGGTTGTCGAGGTTGTGTGGCGTTGCTTCGTGCCGCTCGTGAAGGTTCCGCCATGAAGATAAAATAACAAAGGGAGCGGTAGGGAAGCAGCAAGCAAAATTCAAAATCAGAGATAGTAATGGCTGAAAAAGCGAAATGTAGAGGCGAGCGAAAATAGTTGAAAGATGCATCTGATTATGTGAAAAGAAAGGAAAAAATAAAACTGCCCTGTTCAGCTGCTCGGAAAGAGCTGATTCAGTTGCGAAGCCGGCACGACCGCTTGTATGCTCTCAGCCCAACGAACGACTGTACCCCAATGCGGAAGCGGCCTGAGCGATTACACTTGGCCTAAAATAAATTGCCCGTGGCGGCATCTTGTGATGGCCACGTTTAGGCGAAGACGGTTGTCGACAAAGGTCGACGCCGTCCCTTCCATTCCCGTACGCGTCGTCAAGAGTATGACCGCGTCCATTTCGCGCCCCTGGATTGAGTCTACTGTAGCGATTTCAATGTGGCGCTCAGCGGCGTAATCCTGCAAAAGGCGGTACTGTTCGCGGTAGAATGTAATTACGCAAATCTGCTGCGGCGTAAGGTTAGCGGCGTGCAAAAGGTAGGAAATTAAAGAAATGCAAGCGTGAGCTTCGTCCTCGTTCAAGTAGGAACGCGTAGGCGCCCTAACGGAAGAGCCTTGCACATCGACGAGAGCGAACGGCACTCGCGGGTTAGGGAAGTGGACCCTATCTTGTAGCATACGCCTATCATGCGCTCTGGTCCCGCTAATTAAGGTACCGTTATAAGATGAGATGTTAGGCAGCGCATTGAGGGCGGGGTGCGCTCTAAACGTGGTAACCAGCGTCGCACGAGGTATCAGGGGCGACTGGCAGGACTTCCATAACGCTGCGTGCTCCAAATAAGGCTGGGTTAGCGGAGCTCGGACATTTAGTATGCGGCTGCATCTGATTAACATCGCCGACGTAGAGCTGCGAGGCGTCCGAAAGAGCGTCGTGAGGCAGGCGAATATAGGTTCTGGTACTTGGGAGGCCTCGTCAATAATGATTATTTTGCGGTGGGTCCTAAAAATGCCGCCTGTGCTCGTAGTGTTTAGCAGGGATGCTGTGGTCAGAAGCAAAACATCCGGCGGTCGTACCTTGAACATCAGCGTGACCATCTTCTTAACACACTCTGAGACTTCCTTTCTGCGAGGATGTACTCCTCGATCTCTTTTTCAGACATGTGCATCGACCGCTCGGGATTCCTAGCGTATTGCTCATACAGGGTGCGGCCTCTGCTGAAACGCGAGCACAGCATGCGTTCTGATGAAGCTAATGCCGAATCGAATTGGCTACCCAGGGATTTGAGTATCTCATGGATGTCCGCGGGGGTAGCCGGGGCGTCATCGAGGAACGCCGTCTCTGAAATGTATCTCAGAAGGCGCACCTCGAGGAAATCCTGCAAGGTCAACATCGTGTTGGTGAACTGTGCGGCCCCGTTGTCGTGGTAGTAGTGACTATTATAGGGCCCATCCCGCGCTTCACATAATGAGCAGCAATGATAGCAGCCAAAAGTGTTTTCCCGGTGCCAAAGGCGGCGTTGATACTGGAAATGGGATGAGCTGCCATTGCGAGTGCAAACGCGGCACGTTGGTCGGCTGTAAGAGTGATTGTCTGATGGTTTGTCCGGAAGGTATCCGGGAGAGGAAGAGGAGGTTCGCGACGGTCGGTTCCTACGGGTGGCGGAGGGGGAGGTGCGGAGACCTTGCGGTACACCGTATCCAGGATACGGTGTCCCGTTGTACCCGGTTGCACCCGTTCTACGATGTGAAGCAATCGCGAAACGGCTTCATTCGCCGCACTGGCAGATTTTGTGAGTTACCGAGGCGGACATTAAAGAGTAGAGTTTCGTGTGATGAGGGAAACAAAAAGTTTGGAATTTTTTGACCATTTCTTGCAAAAAAGCTTATTTTTTTATGATGCTGGATATCGAGAAGCTATGTACATATGTTGCTCGCCGTATTCTGATTTTGCATTTAATTTGCGAGTTTGGGACAATTTTGTTGTCTATCGGCCGCGCTCAATCAAAAATAAAAAAAATTTCCAGTAACTTTTGACCGCTACTGTATCCGTACACTTGCGAGGACCAGGCAGTGTGTAGTTTTTTTTAATAGTTTGAGAAAATCTTATATTAGTAAACTGTTAAGGTAGTAAGCTTCCTTGAAGAGCATGAGACTTATCTTAGATCTGACCCTGTACGTTGGCCTTCATCATGAAACACTGAAGTGTTTGAGGAGATCCTTTGGACCCACAAATTAGTAATTCC